CCTGCCCGCCCCCCGCCTGCCCCCTGCGGAGGGTGGGCTGGAGGGCTGGGGGGGGTGGGCAGGCAGGCCTGGGTGCGCAGGGCCCTCAGCTGAGGGAGATGCTTGGGTGAACAAACACTGCTCTGCTCTTCCTTCTGGCTCTGGTACGTTAAATTCCTGTTGTCTTTTGCTCCCGCTTTTCTGCCAGTCGGGGAAATCGGTGTTGGCCAACTTCGTTTCGGAAAGCATAGAAGGGATTGGCGGCTACAGCCCGACACAAGGTGTAAGGTGAGCTGGGCTGAACCCAGCCCTGACGGTTGCCTGCCCCTCACAAAGTCCTGCTCGCTGGTTGTGTGTGTGAGTGTGTGGGTGTGTGGGTTTGTGTAGAATGATACTACGTCGTGTATCTGCCCATTTTCACAGGATCCTGGAGTATGAGAAGCCAAACCTAAACGGTAGCAGCAAGGAAGCTGGGTGTCGGTTTGAGCTGTGGGATTGCAGTGGTGATCAAAAGTAAGGCAGCATCATTGTTACTTCCTATGGGTTACTTAATTCATAATAGTTCTGTTTACACAAAATACTCATAGTTAATGCATAAAACCAGCGATTTTTTTGAGATAAGGAATATTCCTGTCTCTTTACCCCATCTATATTTTTTAAAATGCTTTCTGCTATAAAGCATCTGATACCAAGTATTCTCTGCCATGATCCCAGCTGACACTGTACTGGGTTTTGGATAAGGGCTGAGTAAACCAGTGAAGTCCACAGCTCCTAAAGTGACATTACAGATAGAGAAAACAGAGGCCCACTCTGTAACTGCCTTTATCTCCTTGAAGTTATTAGGTGAGTGGACTTCAAACAATGTTTATATATGATTGAGGCCTTAATTTCCAAAAGATACAATTGAGAACTGGACAGATCAGTTTTTAGGGAAAAAGTTTAAATAAGCATTTGACCAAACTATCAGCAAACCATGGGACCAACTAACATCACAGGTAAGTCAAAATATTGGGAATTTGATAGATCACTGGCAAGATTACTACTGTTATATTAAAAGTACTGAAATGTGTTCTTGAGGAGGGAAGAAGAAAACTTGAGGAAGTTTGAGTACATGTTTCTGTTTTCCAGTTAACAGTCTTACCATTTTCCTATGCCTCTGTTTTGCAAGGTTTGAAACATGTTGGCCAGCTCTGATGAAAGACACTCATGGTGTAATAATAATCTTCAATCCTGAGCTGCCCAGTCACCTGAAAGAAATTGAAATGTGGTACTCCTGTTTTGTGCAGCAGCAGCCCCTGCTTGACAACCAGTGTCTCCTGGTTGCACATCACAAGCCAGGCAGCTCAGGGGACACAGAAAATCTGTCCTTGGGTAAGGAGGTGAAAAAATTATCTGTAATTTTTGTTATCTATTCATCTTTTAAATTGTTCATACCTTATGGCTTGCATTCTTCATTTAAATTTGCCAATCAAAGAATACTGGAGTACTTTGCAAAAACAGAACTAAATTAATCTCAGAGGTCATCCAGAAAGTGAGCAATATTTTTATTTTACAAAAGAGAAAGGCAAAAGAAGTTTGAGTGACTTTGAGTATGTAGCTGAGGCAGGAATTAGAACTCCTGATGTCTGTAGACATATGTCATCATCACTAGCAGTTTGTTTCTTATATGGAATTTTATCTATTGTCAACTGACACTTTTGAGACCACTTAAACCTGCATTTTGTCAAGCAAAAGAATCATAGAAACGTTCTGGTTGGAAAAATCCTTCAAGATAATCAGGTTCAACCATTAACCCAACTCTACCATGTCCACTGCTAGACCATGTCACTCAGCACCACATCTACATGACTTATTAATGCTTCCAGGGGATGGTGACTGCACCATTTCCCTGAGCAGCCTGTGCCAGTGCTTGGCAACCCTTTCTGTGGAGAAATTTTTCCTAATATCCAGCCTAAACCTCCCATGGCACAACTTGAGGCCAAAGCCCTAAAGAGATTAGAAGCCTTTTGAAATAAAAGGCTAAAGATTTTCCTCTTAAAATCAATAATATATACCTTATATACTATAAAATTATTTGTGGCTCTTTATACAAATGAGAACACACCCTCCCTCTGGGCAACCTGTCCCAGTGTTCAAAGATACACATGTTTCTTATAAGGATTAATATTTTAATAAATAACAGAACAATATTGTTCCATAAATCTGAAGTAACCAAAGAATGTCATATCACTTTAATATGAAAACTGCACCTTAGTGCTGAATTGTTTGATTCTACATAAGTGAATGCAAAAGCAAAATAACTACTTGAAGCTTTAAGAAGAATGTTTGAAGGAATTATTCTAGCAACAAGTCATACTTGCTTGTCATGCTAACAACCTATGATACGTTTCTTATTCATGTGTTATATGTTATCTGGGCTATCAAACATTGGATGCTACTGAATGCCAACTGACTTCAGCATGAGCTGTCCCATAACCTGGATTGTGAATATTTCTTGTATAAAACATGCCTAATGATTTTTTCTTTACCTTCAAAGCTTACCCACTGAACAAGCTAAAGCTAATACATTCCAACTTAGAGGAAGATCCTGAAGATGTTCGGATGGAATTTATGAAATACTTCAAAAGCATCATCACCTTTATGAATGAGAGCAGAGAGAGGGAAGAGATGTCAATTATCTCATGACATTAAAAGAAATCCTGAATGGGGAAGAAAAAGATTATTTTTACTAGGTAAGCTATACTAGCCTGTGAAGAGGTCCTTGCACTGAGAATCTGCCAGCCCATAAACATTTCAGCAAAAATAATGCTCCATTTATGACTTAACCAGAAAAAAATACAAGTGCTGACATCAGATGACCTTTAGAGCCAAAATGATGGCTGCACACCCAGGCATTTGGGTAACTTTAGCTGTCCTTTGGTTTCATTACAAGAAGGTATTGTTTAGTATGTTGAACCAAAAGATGAAGTGGGTTACCTCTTCATTTCAGAATCCCTTTTTGAGGAAGAGCTGAGAGAAGAAAGCCTGGCAGAACATAAGATTTGTGGAGATCTGTTGAAGCATCTGAGTAAAATGTTCATGCTAGCTCTGTTCCTGGAGAAGTCATGCTTTTGGAAGTCAGTACAAACTGATGGGAATAGAGATCTGAGATGTAGACATGGTGTGGAATCCACATTTTTATGTTCCAAGTTCTTCTTATCTTTCTGTCCAGCATTTAAAGAGAGCACATTTCATGGCTGTTGCCTTGGCAGGACACAGTAGGTTCCAGTCTTTCTCAGGACAAGGTTTTTCTTATATTCTGACAAAATTAACATGTTGGGGACAATGTTTAGGTGTCTCTGAGAGGAAAAGAACTGAAATCTCAGTGTGGTGCAATACTTTGCCCCCTGTTGGGAGCTCCAACAGAGGAAAAAAAAGTTCTGCATTCTCCAGAGCAGGAAAAGCTGTTTCAAAACTTGTATTACTGTTGCCTGTTGCATTAACATAAGTGGTTTCATAGATAATTTACTTTCTGGTTTGTTTGGTTTGCACTCTTCCCTGTTCTTGATGTGTTTAGCTGTGGAAGACATCTTTTTGTAACACATTTTTTTGTAACATGCAATAAAAATATTTTTAAAATGCATCCTTTTTTCTCTCAGAGGAAAAGTTAATAATGGCTTTGTGGAACTCTTATCGACTTGTTTAATTTTTACTAAGAAAAACACTGATAAATCTGTAGTACATTTCACACTAAGTAGCTCCAACAAGAGACATTTAAAAAATTTGTCACCAACCCAAACAGCCAAAGAAAGGAAAAATGAAAACCTGAAGCATGGATAAATACTGACACACTATTTTTTCCAAAAGATAATTTAAAGAACAGAGGGACTGGGAGCAGGAACTGAAGAAATCCCTGAGGAGCATCCCATTTCACATTGTACTGCAGCTCACCTCATGAAGTGGGAGATCAGTGGCTTGTCAGAATGATGTCTGACCCACAGCACTTAATTTTACAGCTTCTGTTTCATCCTGTATTTATGCTACACAGCTGTATTTGAGCTGCAGCAGTTTTACAAGTTTACAGCCTTGTCCTCTCACCAACATTGTCTTTTAATAAACATCCCTTACAGAAAGTATTTCATAAAACAGGAAGTTCTTGGATCTATTTTAGTTCAAGAAACAGGAGAGAGAGCTTTAGTTTTTTCAATTACCTAGGTTAATCAGTCAACTGCTTTTCCTATTTTACAGTTTGGTCTTTTCTGAGGAATGAGTAGCCTGTCCTTGTGCAAATATTCTGTTTTCCGAGATTAAATGAAGAGATACCTCAAAAAACTACTCAGTTGTTTACACATCTTTCTCCCAGCCTGCAAACTGTGCAGTCAGGCTTCAGGGTGTGGTGCACCATCCCAGGCTGCTCTTGGCAGGACTGCAGGTCTTGTTCAGGCCTCCTCAAACCTCCAACAGATCTCAAGGCAAAAAACTGTAACTCCTTTTCTGTGGTCAGTCCTCTTCAATGGATTCACTGTAGTGATACAGGTATGATTGGCTGTAGCAGCTGAAATAAATTACTTTTGCTGTTGCTTTCAGGTAGGGGACTTTACAGGTACTTTCATTCACTGCTTGAAGCACTTCTACATCATTATGCTCAAAATCAATAAACGTTGCTAGACTCTGAAAGCTTTTTCACCTCCAAAATTTGTATATTGTACTTCTCCAGGTATCTTTTTTCTTTGATTATTAAGCTATTTTTATTTAAAAGAGAGGCATGAGAGGTGAAAGATTAGAAGGTGATCTCAGAACTGTTGCAAGTTGCAAAACCAATGGCTACAAGTGACACAACACACTGAGCTGGGCTCATGCTTTACAAAATTACTGACATGCTGGTTTTCTCCGGTTGGTGCCAGGCATGTAAAAGTTGTGTGCACACACTAATAACCTGTACTGCTCTTTTCTTGGGTGCTTGGTCTGCTGACAGAATTTGCTGCCCTGGCTTCTTTTCATTGTCTGCTGGCTCCTATTCTGCCATTAAAGCTAAAATCTCTGCTCAGTTCTGAGAGAAAAAGAGAGGGGTTCTGAAAGGAAAGTGAGAGGAAAGACACCAGGAAAGTAAAACGCAAAATAAGCAGCAAGAGATAAAAAGAAAAGGTTGGAGGCAAATAGTGGGAGGTTGGCATTTCAATGTCTACATTTTATTTATATGACTTTAGAAACAATCAGGCTTTATATGTTTGCAATCAGTGTCATAGGGTGGTCTATTGGAGGCAGTTATTGGAAAATTCACAGTCTAACTAGAGAACAAGTTTTTTACATGCTGCCTTAGATTATTTTTTCCTTCTTGCCAGCTGTGTGGTGCTGGAGCCAATTTTTAAAATATACTGCCTTAATAAATTCACTTTTTCCCAACAGCAACATCGCAATAGGCACTGGTAGAGACTGTTGTGAAACCCACCAAGTATTTTATTTGGAATGTAAACCAGTCTTTGGGTGATTCCAGGGTTGAAAAGTCAATTAACTTTCCAATTCAACACCTTGCTTCATATAAAGTGTTAATAATGAACTTACTTTAAACTCAAAAAAAATGAAAACAAATGGATGTAAATTACAGGTATCTAAATAGTGCAACACATTGTTTATTAGAGGAGAAAAATGCTGTTAGACAGAAGCAAGGATAGATCCCTAGACTTGACTTGATATAATATCTGATAAATGTGGAACATCATTCATAAACCTGGCCAAGAGAATAATTTCTGTGACTGCTGAAGAACAGAGTAAATGCATAGACCCATGCAAAATTAATCCTGAGTATTGGAGAAGACACAGAGAAAGTATTTATTTAGAAGTATCAATTATTAATGATTTATTAAACAGGTCAACAGAGACCCCCAGCTAGAAGAGGTGTACAAGAATGCCAGATGCTAGAGGAAGCTCTGTGTCTCTGCCCTTTGCCAGTCTGCCTTTCCTGGGCCACCAGAGCACCGGCAGAGCTTTAAACAATGCCACATCCAGGGGCTGCTCAGACAGGGGTGCAGTCCTGTTTGCTTGAAATGATGTGGTTAATAAGTGACTGTTCTATGGCTCTGTCCCTATTTCTGCTTGTGAGAGCAAGGAATTGCCCAGGAAACTGGGAACATGGGGTAATCAGCAACAAGTCAGAAGTCAGTTGGCAAGCCACAGGTCTAACTAGGAGTAGGAACAATTTAGGAGCAGAAAGTACCAGCAATTTTTCAGCAAAAGCACTGTATTTTACTCTTCCACCCTAAGGACCTTACCACCATACTTGGGAGTTTGGAAAGGCTTTTTGGATGAATGGAAGAGAAGGTAAAGAAGCAGTGAAATCTCCCAGTTCCTCCCAACAAATCTAGGTGTCCTCAATCCCTTCAAGTGAACAGTTCATCTCCCCTTCTCACTCTGCCAGCTGCCATGTACCCTCAAGCCCCTGCTTTGTATGAACTGTGCACAAATTGGAAGTCTTCAAGTTCCCTGTCCCTTTCTGTGGTTCCTTGACCATATTGGAATTCAGTGGCTATTTGCTCCAGTGGCTTTTCTGTGATCACCTGCACTGCCATGGTTTGTGGAACTGAGGCTGGAATCAGGGACATAAAACATTTAAAATATTAATTAATTCAAATATATCCAGCCTCCACTCTGAAGACTCCAGGACACACCAACAGTTCAGTGAGAAAGAAACCTGTTATTTAAACAGGAGATTATTTGGTTACTTGGCATTGAGTATTGATAATACTGACAGACTTACATCACTGTATTTATGATGTACAGAAATTATTCTCCAAGTTGTATTACTGTATAGCTACAAAAAGGTTTAGAGCTGTAGGTCAGCTCTACTTAAGCTCACCCTCATGTCCCACCAAAGTACTTGGTACATCACTGCTTTGGACAGCTGACCTATCTGGACAAAGAACATGGAAATTTGATAGCAGGTCAGAATCAGAAGAACTCTGCAGGGCTAGAAATGCAGAATGTTCAGACTCCAGGGTGACACAGAGAATTAAAGGCTGTGGCCATCGTGCTGCCTGGTGATATAAGACATTTTAAGATCTTAAATTATAAAATAGAGTTTGCACAGGTTATCTCTTACAAGCTGTTTTCTGCACACACAGACCATTATGAAGGCAGTAACTACTTGTGATGATGAAAACAGTTATAGGCACTGCAACCCAGATGTGTGGCTTCCAGAGTAAAAATCATACTTGTTTACAACCAAACTTTGGGTGTAGCAGCAAAGCCGAATTAAATACATTTGGACCTTCCAAAAAAATATGCAGCTTTCTTTTCAAGTAATACATTTTGAAGACCAGGCCTTTGGTCTCTGTTGCTCTCAGCAGTATTGTTCTAATGGACACAATAGACATAAGAAACCCTGTGTTCCTATTTCTATTCTTGAACTGCCAAGTGACTCTGAGGAAGTCACGTAGGCCACCACATTTAAGAGTGTCCATCCGTGCTGGGTTTTTGCATGCTCAGTTTAAAATATGTAGGGTGCTGATGTGCAGACACTTTAGGAAGCAACTTCTAGAAGGTATTCAGGACCTCTTAAAATCAGATCTTACACTACTTAACTTCTCAGCAGGAGTATCTTGCTCTGGAGGTCACTTTGAATATTTCCTCTTATTGGTTTCCCAGAAGTCTCCACTGATGGAATACTGGAGTGCTGCAGGAAAGACGCCCCTGAAGATCAATTCACCTTG